CCTGCACCAGGGTGGCCCCGAGCCCTGGCACCATGCTCACCACCACCACCATCACCACCACCACCCCTACATCGGGACACAGAGCACTGCCTACCCCCGCCCCGCCGCCATGCACGAAGTCTACGGGCCCCACTTTGACCCCCGCTATGGCTCGCTCCTGGTGCCCCCCGCCTCCGTCCGCCCCCACCGCCTCACGCCCGCCTCCGTGCCCACACCGGTCAGTCCCCCCTGTGAACTGGGCAAGAGTGAAGCAGGTGCCGCCGCAGCCTGGACAACACCGGGACCCTTCCCCAACGCAGCAGGAGACATGGCACAGAGCCTCGGCCTCAACGTGGACCCAGGTAAAGAGCTGCCCTCGCTCCCTCTGGGTCCCCCTGGCTCAGCTTCACCCTTGCCTCCTGCCTCCCTCACATCATTTACAGTAGTAGGGAAGGACCCTTCACGGCGAGGCAGCTGGGGTGCTGCTGTGGAGGAATAAATTAGGGATGGAAGTCCCACAGGAGACACCTGAGCTCTGCCCTGGGTGCCCTTCTTGGGGCTTTCAGGCCAGGTGAGTGAGGAAGGGGAGAGGAAAGGTGGGACAGAACAACACATCGCCCCCCCACGCAACATCTTCTTAATTTCTGGCACCCAAAAACATGCCCTGAGGGTACTGGTTGCTTTGAGGTTCTCTTGTCTGGCCCTGGCCCTGCTCTTGCCTTGAGCAGCGAGAGCTGGGAGCGGGATGGAACCGCCCCAAAGGTCACCAGTTGGCTCCCTCCACGGGCTGCCCTGAGGGCAAGAGTGTGGGCAGCCACAGCAGAGCAGGTCATTTCTAGACCCCACGCAGGTTCATTAACTACCTTCTCTCCGTATTTATTTTTTCCTCCAAGTTTTTGAGAGGAAAACACAATTGCATTTGCCGAACAAGAAGGGCAATGGTTTTCCCCTGGTAGTGATACCCTGTGCCTGGTGGCGTGCCTGGAAGTAAGGCTGTGTGGCCTTAGCTGTGACAAAAAGATGACACAGGCATAGGCAGCAGCATCAGTTCTGAAGTGGTTGTGGAGGCAGGGCAAGTCCTCTCTGGTGGCAGTTCTCCATGCTGAAGTTGGGTTATTGCAGCCACAAATGGCTCCTTATGGTGGCTTCACTTTAGGCAGGAGGGACATGTGCCTGTCTCCAGTCTAGCTTGGGCTCTTCTCCTTGCTTCATGGCCCCCCAGGGCTGTGGGGAGCCCATGCTTTAGACTGATTCTCTGATCTCAGCTGGCAGAAATGCAGTTTGTCTTTCTCTGTCCTCAAACACCTGTACCTATTTTTCTTCTTCCCTTTTTTTCTTCTCTCCGTTCTCAGGTTTGCAGCCTCAGGATAAAAGCAAGGATCTGTACTGGTTTTAGAGCTGTCCTTCACTCTTCCTCCCCTGGCTCTCCCTTGTAGATCTCTGCCTGTTAGACATGGTGACATTCAGAGCTGAAATCGGGTCAGTTTGTAACAGCTTCTGATCTTGGTTTGCAGCTCGCCGTTATTCCTTCTGTGGTGGATCCCTTCTGAGCTGATGTGCTGACTCAAAGATTCTCAGATCCCCCCTTGCCCTTTTCCAAGCCCACCGTGGCCGTGCAGCTCGGGGAAAGACAGCGGGACTTAAAAGGACCTGGCAGTGCAAGGACGGTGCCTTGGACTTATTTCAGAGAGGAAAATGCTTCTGTTGCAAGAGGAGAGCCAAAGACGTTGAACTTCTATTTAAGCAGACCCCACACCCAGAACTGCAGTCAGACTGCTCTAAGAGAGTCAAATGACATCATGGATGGTGATGCAAAACCACTGACCTCCATACATGGGGCAGAGGAAATCATGGGGCTGTTTTTTTTTAGTGGTGTGAATATTTTTTTATGGCAGTGAAAATTATTTCTCGAATGCAAACATGGGAAAGCTACTTAGCAGTTCTGAACTGGATTTTTACTTTACATTATAGAGAAGTAAAAGCAGAAGAAACTGGAACTCACAAATATTTTCAGACTATCAAGGAACTGGTCAGATTTTTCAGCTTTATGGTTGTGAGTGGCAAGTGTCTGGCCGGGGCCACCTGCCCCGGGTTTACAGAGATGCAGCTGTTCCACACACAACTGCTCAAACCCCAGAAAGGCGAAAAGCAAGGTGGCACTTCTCAGAGTCTGGCACAACATTTGCATTGGATTTATAACCGTTGTTTGGTTGTGGTTTTCTGTTTTGTTTTGTTTTTTACAAGAAACAATTTCTGGCAAAAGTAAAACCCTCTTAAAGCGGGGGAAGGAAGGAAGCCCATGAAGAATGGCTCACCCTCAACCCAACAGCCTTTAAGGGGAACACTAGAAGCAAAGGCATGTGGTGGACAATAGGTCTGACTTGCCTGTAACATTTCTCTTTGTCTACCTGTTGCTGTCAATTTGTCACTTTAATAGTTGTTTGTTGTTTTGTTTTGTTTTGTTTTTTTTGAAAGGGGGAATAAGATATCTATTTAACAGTAGGAAAGCTGCATTAAAGGTATCTCCTTCTTTCACCCTGTGTGCTTTTATGAAGAATTAAAGCTAAATAAGAGAAATGAGGCAACATGGAAACTTCAGGATGAAATAGGAAAATACCTGTCATGTGGATGAAGTGAGTTATTTTATTACTTTGCATTAAAAATAAATAGAAAACCTAGCAGTTGAAAGTATTTTCTTAGTGAGTAAAAAATATGGTGAAAAATACAAAAGATAAGAAAATGCAAGATTGTTGCAGTGCTACATTTTAGTGTATGGTGTATCTGTAAGTTGGGTTAAAGTAAGGGAGCTGCTCCTTAATAGCACATATGTCTTCATGAAGCTGATAGAAGAGGGTACTGTAGCATTTAGCATTGCTATTGCGCTGGTAAATTGAAATGCTGTTACAGGGTGATGAATAATTAATTAAAAAGTGTAGAAATGGCAATTTCCCCCTATACTTAAAAGCTGACTTTTCTACAGGCAAAACACCTGATCCCAACACTACCACGTTTTGCGTTCTTTCTGGTTTTTCATGATGTAATGTCTTCGAAGGCTGACAAAGTTACATACATGTGAGAGAAGAGTCCTCACATCACTCCTCTGCCACCAGGAAAAGCAGTAGAAAACAGACTTTGTGCTGTGATGTGAGACTCTCACATGATCTGGCATGATGTCCACCACGTGTCAGAAACGGAGTTATGAATAACCCAAACTTGCTTCTCCAGGGCCTCAGCTTGGCAATAACTCCATTTCTAGGAAAGAACAGGAATCCTGGTAGTGAGAGTATGATAAAGCAGTGTGAGTAAATACTGCGAGAATCTGGCAAGGAGCAACGTGTGCAGAGCATTCCCAGCCAGAGCGTGGCAAATGGCAGGAGGTGACTTGCCGCGATCCCTTCAGCCAGGCGTAACTCTGAGCATTTTGCCCTCAGCCTCCAATAAGCCAGAGCCCAGAGAAGCTGTAAGGGGCAAGGGAAGGACTCCAGAATTTATAGTAGTGGTTAAAACAAAAATACTCTGATGTGTGTATCAAGAAAGAAGGCAGAAGCACTTTTCAAGAGAAAAGTAGCTAAACATGGCATTTAACGTTATTGCTACGGAGACTTGGAGATAACAACATCATTCTGTGAGCATTAGCCTGCAGGTTATTTTAGGCTGTTTTTAAAGCTTTTTTTTTAAAAAAAAAGATTAATCTGGCTCTATATTTGTTGTGCTTCACCACAATTGTGTCTTCTTTCTTTTTTCCCCTTCCCCTCTGCAATTCTTAATGAGGAAGGCTGGGCAATACAGCCCAAATGTGTTTGGAAATATTCATGTAAGCACAAACCAGTCGTTTACTTCACTGTCATTTGCAATTCATTTTGACTGTGGATGTTTTCAAGCATGAGAATTTATGCAATGAACACACGAACGTTGGTTTTGACATCTGTTCTGCAGGTACTCTGTTTTACTGTTGTATTGTGAAAGCATCCAAACACCAAAGTCAAGATTGTGGCTTAAGGTGTTAGATGTGCAAAAAACTTTTAAAAATGCTCCTATTCCGGATGGCCTGCAGTCTGAAACAACACGTGCCCTATTTCGACTAATCCTTGCAGAGTTTTGCTCACTGTTATTCCAACTCCAGGGGGACCGCTCACAGCACCTACCTCTAAGGCTTGGGTGTGAGTCTTTGCAGGACTGGAGCCACAGCTCCTAGTGCAGTAACAGTGCAAATGACCTCCGTGCCATTTTGCAAGTCTGTTTTACTCCTCTTTGCACCACAGGTTGTTACTTGCTTAACCGCGAATGCTTGCAGGAAATCTGGAAATACAAAAGAAACCCTTCTAATATGTTACGTGTGTCTTATCTGTCACATGCTTGTCACACACAGAAAGAGCAGGGCTGTGAGTCCCCGGTCCTGCAGCCTGCAGAGCAGATCCTCCTGCTGCCCCTTTCCGAGCGTCATGCAGAGGTTAGCACCAGCTTGTGCTCTCTAGCTACCACCTCACAAACCGACCAGCCCAGCTGGGACCGACTAACAAACACAGCTCCCAGCCTGTTCGTGCAGAGTCCAGGGAAGGAGGCAGAGGGTCGGGATCTGTTGCAGAGCACCGCAGTACTGGGCATAGCAAGAGTATCCGCTCCTGCTGAGTGAGAGCAATTTGTAGGAGTTTGCAAAATGAGCTCTGGGCATATTCACTGCAGACATTTATTTTCTGTTCTGAAAACTAGCAAAGCATGAAGGAACACTGTTTTTATGAATTCTGAGGTTAATAGTGATTTGTCAAGAGAAGGATGGAAGGGGGATGGGACATAGTATTTGTGGTTGCAGCCCCCACTTTATTTTAGTGAGGGTTTTGCTTCAGTATAGCTGCAGTTGCAAGAATGCAGCACAGAGCTATTAGACACATACATATATGTGCCTCTGCACTTACAGTCTAATGTTGGAGACCTTTAGGGCAACGTCACTTACTTCTCATCTCCTTTTCCAGTGTGTTTTCCATAGGAGCCCCCAGCAGAAGAGGAGGAGGGAAGGAGAGAGGGGGTGAAAGAGAGTCTGAGTAATCCCCTATGCCTGCCCTGGACTGTGCTGCCTGTCTCTGGGGAAATGTATCTGCCCTGTCTCCTCCTTGGGTCAGGAGGGACTGCTGTCCCTTCTCGCCTTCCCTTTGAAGTCCTATTTAGGTTCATGACAAGCTCTAGCGAGGGCTTAAATGTTGGTCCCTTCCTAGAAGGGAGGAAAATGCTGCTGGTGGCTTTGGATGCACCAGGGTTCTCTGACTGGCAGTTCTCCTGCATCTTTTCTGGGCAAGGGTTGTAATTAACGTGCCCTTTTGATTAGAGAAGGGTGAGGCAGCTCCTCTGGGGGATTGTCATGTCCTGGCTGGCTTCCCTGGCCTGCCACCCAGAGGAGCAGTTGCAGCAGGGGAAGGAGAGAGACTTGCGTTGTGATTTTTGGAGGAGTTAGGTATTGATATTGTGGGCTAGACAATTTTGTGAAGGAAAAGGAAAAAGGGAAAGGAAAAGGAAAAGGGAAAGGAGAAGGAAAAGGAAAAGGAGAAGGAGAAGGAAAAGGAGCAGGATTTAGAGCAGAAGCAGGAGCAGGAGCAGGAGCAGGAGAAGGAGAAGGAGAAGGAGAAGGAAAAAGAGAAGGAGAAGGCAAAGGCAAAGGTAAAGGCAAAGGTAAAGAAAAAGGGAAAGGGAAAGGGAAAGGGAAAGGGAAAGGGAAAGAAATGAAAAAGAAAAAGAAAAAGAAAAAGAAAAAGGATAAAGATAAAGAAAAAATATAAAGAAAAAGAAAAATATAAAGAAAAATATAAAGAAAAAGAAAAATATAAAGAAAAAGAAAAGAAAAAGAAAAAGAAAAAGAAAAGGAAAAAAGAAAAGGAAAAAGGAAAAAAGAAAAAGAAAAAGAAAATGGAAATAAAAAGAAAAAGAAAAATAAAAGGAAAAAATAAAAGGAAAAAAGAAAAAAGAAAAAGAAAAAGAAAAAGAAAAAGAAAAAGAAAAAGAAAAAGAAAAAGAAAAAGAAAAAGAAAAAGAAAAAGAAAAAGAAAAAGAAAAAGAAAAAGGAAAAAGAAAAAGAAAAAAAAAAGGAAAAAAAGAAAAAAGAAAAAAAGGAAAAAGTTTTACTTTAGTCAGCCCCCAAGATTTGGGGCTACATCCTTGGGAACCGTATTGTTAATTTGGTTCCTAGCACAGTAAGACTGTTCTCTAAACCAACTGTACTGACTAGCAGAGTTCCCCTGCTCATGTCCATCTGGAATCGTGCAGAAGGAGTTACCTTCGCAGTGCACCTTCTGCTGCCTCTGTAGCCAGGCATAAGCTATGAATCACGTGCACCAAACCTGTGAGCGCAACTTGTAACAGAGAGGTACCAGGGTGCCATGTCCCCCTCCTCCTGCCCCTGCCCTCCCTGCATCAGGTCCCAAGGGAGAAGGGGAAGGTGCCAGAGGAGCCAGTGCAGGGTGCAGGGCAGAGGGGTGCACACCCCTGGGCCCAACTCCCATGGGCACCTCCCTTTGCTGTGCTCAGCTGCAGCCCTCAAAACCGCAGGCTGACCGAGGACTACTAGAG